GACTAGCACAAAAGAATAGGCATCCAATTCAGTGGACGAGTCAAAGTGATGCGTTGGGTAGTCTGGTCAGTATGCGCACCTATAATGGGCGCACCACGCCTAATTCAGGCGCTCAAATTTTGAGAACCGCATGGAACGAAATGGAAACACTTGTTGTGGATGCGGAAATTAGTTTAATCTAGTGGACTAGCACAAAAGAAGAGGCATCCAATTCAGCGGACCAGTCAAAGTGATGTGTTGGGTAGTCTGGTCATGCGCACCTATAATGGGCGTACCAGGCCGAGTTTTGGCGCTCAAATTTTGAGAACCGCATGGAACGAAATGGAAACACTTGTTGTGGATGCGGAAAATAGTCTAATCTAGTGGACTAGTACAAAAGAAGAGGCATCCAATTCAGCGGACCAGTCAAATTGATGCGTTGGGTAGTCTGGTCAGTATGCGCACCTATTATGGGCGTACCAGGAAGAGTTCAGGAGCTCAAATTTTGAGAACCGCATGGAACGAAATGGAAACACTTGTTGTGGATGCGGAAATAGTCTTATCTAGTGGAGTAGCACAAAAGAAGAGGCATTCAATTCAGTGGACCAGTCAAAGTGAGGCGTTGGGTAGTCTGGTCAGTATGCGCACCTATAATGGGCGTACCACGCAGAGTTCAGGCGCTCAAATTTTGAGAACCGCATGGAACAAAATGGAAACACTTGTTATGGATGCGGAAAATAGTCTAATCTAGTGGAGTAGCACAAAATAAGAGGCATCCAATTCAGCGGACCAGTCAAAGTGATGCGTTGGGTAGTCTGGTCAGTATGCGCACCTATAATGAGCGTACCACGCAGAGTTCAGGAGCTCAAATTTTGAGAACCGCATGGAACAAAATAGAAACACTTGTTGTGGATGCGGAAAATAGTCTAATCTAGTGGACTAGCCCAAAAGAAGAGGCATCCAATTCAGCGGACCAGTCAAAGTGATGCGTTGGGTAGTCTGGTCAGTATGCGCACCTATAATGGGCGTACCAGGCAAAGTTCAGGAGCTCAAATTTTGAGAACCGCATGGAACGAAATGGAAACATTTGTTGTGGATGCGGAAAATAATCTAATCTAGTGGACTAGCACAAAAGAAGAGGCATCCAATTCAGCGGACCAGTCAAAGTGATGCGTTGGGTAGTCTGGTCAGTATGGGCACCTATAATGGGCGTACCAGGCAGAGTTCAGGAGCTCAGATTTTGAGAACCGCATGGAACGAAATGGAAACACTTGTTGTGGATGCAGAAAATAGTCTAATCTAGTGGACTATTACAAAAGAAGAGGCATCCAATTCAGCGGACCAGTCAAAGTGATGCGTTGGGTAGTCTGGTCAGTAATGGGCGTACCAGGCAGAGTTCAGGAGCTCAAATTTTGAGAACCGCATGGAACGAAATGGAAACACTTGTTGTGGATGCGGAAAGAGTCTAATCTAGTGGAATAGCACAAAAGAAGAGGCATCCAATTCAGCCGACCAGTCAAAGTGATGCGTTGGGTAATCTGGTCAGTATGCGCACCTATAATGGGCGTACCAGGCAGAGTTCAGGCGCTCAAATTTTGAGAACCGCATGGAAAGAAATGGAAACACTTGTTGTGGATGTGGAAAATAGTCTAATCTAGTGGACTAGTACAAAATAAGAGGCATCCAATTCAGCGGACCAGTCAAAGTGATGCGTTGGGTAGTCTGGTCAGTATGCGCACCTATTATGGGCGTACCAGGCAGAGTTCAGGAGCTCAAATCTTGAGAACCGCATGGAACGAAATGGAAACACTTGTTGTGGATGCGGAAAATAGTCTAATCTAGTGGACTAGCACAAAAGAATAGGCATCCAATTCAGTGTACCAGTCAAAGTGATGCGTTGGGTAGTCTGGTCAGTATGCGCATCTATAATGGGCGTACCAGGCCGAGTTCAGTAGCTCAAATTTTGAGAACCGCATCGAACGAAATGGAAACACCTGTTGTGGATGCGGAAAATAGTCTAATCTAGTGGACTAGCACAAAAGAAGAGGCATCCAATTCAGCGGACCAGTCAAAGTGATGCGTTGGGTAGTCTGGTCAGTATGCGCACCTATAATGGGCGTACCAGGAAGAGTTCAGGAGCTCAAATTTTGAGAATTGCATGGAACGAAATAGAAACACTTGTTGTGGATGCGGAAAATAGTATAATCTAGTGGACTAGCACAAAATAAGAGGCATCCAATTCAGCGGACCTGTCAAAGTGATGCGTTGGGTAGTCTGGTCAGGATGCGCACCTATAATGGGCATACCAGGCCTAGTTCAGGCGCTCAAATTTTGAGAACCGCATGGAACGAAATGGAAACACTTGTTGTGGATGCGGAAAATAGTCTAATCTAGTGGACTAGCACAAAAGAAGAGGCATCCAATTCAGCGGACCAGTCAAAGTGATGCGTTGGGTAGTCTGGTTAGTATGCGCACCTATAATGGGCGTACCAGGCAGAGTTCGGGCGCTCAAATTTTAAGAACCGCATGGAACGAAATGGAAACACTTGTTGTGGATGCGGAAAATAGTCTAATCTAGTGGACTAGCACAAAAGAAGAGGCATCCAATTCAGCGGACCAGTCAAAGTGATGCGTTGGGTAGTCTGGTCAGTATGCGCACCTTTAATGGGCGTACCAGGCAGAGTTCAGGAGCTCAAATTTTCAGAACTGCATGGAACGAAATGGAAACACTTGTTGTGGATGCGGAAAATAGTCTAATCTAGTGGAATAGCACAAAAGAAGAGGCATCCAATTCAGCGGACCAGTCAAAGTGATGCGTTGGGTAGTCTGGTCAGTATGCGCACCTATATTGGGCGTACCAGGCAGAGTTCAGGAGCTCAAATTTTGAGAACCGCATGGAACGAAATGGAAACACATGTCGTGGATGTGGAAAATAGTATAATCTAGTGTAATAGCACAAAAGAAGAGGCATCCAATTCAGTGGACCAGTCAAAGTGATGCGTTGGGTAGTCTGGTCAGTATGCGCACCTATAATGGGCGTACAAGGCAGAGTTCAGGCGCTCAAATTTTGAGAACCGCATGGAACGAAATGGAAATACTTGTTGTGGATGTGGAAAATAGTCTAATCTAGTGGACCAGCACAAAAGAAGAGGCATCCAATTCAGTGGACCAGTCAAAGTGATGCGTTGGGTAGTCTGGTCAGTATGCGCACCTATAATGGGCGTACTAGGCAGAGTTCAGGCGCTCAAATTTTGAGAACCGCATGGAACGAAATGGAAAAACTTGTTGTGGATGTGGAAAATAGTATAATCTAGTGGACCAGCACAAAAGAAGAGGCATCCAATTCAGTGGACCAGTCAAAGTGATGCGTTGGGTAGTCTGGTCAGTATGCGCACCTATAATGGGCGTACCACGCCGAGTTCAGGCGCTCAAATTTTGAGAACCGCATGGAACGAAATGGAAACACTTGTTGTGGATATGGAAAATAGTCTAGTCTAGTGGACTAGCACAAAAGAAGAGGCATCCAATTCAGCGGACCAGTCAAAGTGATGCGTTGGGTAGTCTGGTCAGTATGCGCACCTATAATGGGCGTACCACGCCTAGTTCAGGCGCTTAAATTTTGAGAACCGCATGGAACGAAATGGAAACACTTGGTGTGGATGTGGAAAATAGTCTAGTCTAGTGTACTAGCACAAAAGAAGAGGCATCCAATTCAGCGGACCAGTCAAAGTGATGCGTTGGGTAGTCTGGTCAGTATGGGCACCTATAATGGGCGTACCAGGCCTAGTTCAGGCGCTCAAAGTTTGAGAACCGCATGGAACGAAATGGAAACACTTGTTGTGGATACGGAAAATAGTCTAGTCTAGTGGATTAGCACGACTAGCACAAAAGAAGAGGCATCCAATTCAGTGAACCAGTCAAAGTGATGCGTTGGGTAGTCTGGTCAGTATGCGCACATATAATGGGCGTACCAGGAAGAGTTCAGGAGCTCAAATTTTGAGAATTGCATGGAACGAAATAGAAACACTTGTTGTGGATGCGGAAAATAGTCTAATCTAGCACAAAAGAAGAGGCATCCAATTCAGCGGACCAGTCAAAGTGATGCGTTGGGTAGTCTGGTCAGGATGCGCACCTATAATGGGCGTACCAGGCCTAGTTCAGGCGCTCAAATTTTGAGAACCGCATCCAACGAAATGGAAACACTTGTTGCGGATGCGGAAAATAGTATAATCTAGTAGACTAGCCTAAAAGAAGAGGCATCCAATTCAGCGGACCAGTCAAAGTGATGCGTTGGGTAGTCTGGTCAGTATGCGCACCTATAATGGGCGTACCAGGCAGAGTTCAGGCGCTCAAATTTTAAGAACCGCATGGAACGAAATGGAAACACTTGTTGCGGATGCGGAAAATAGTCTAATCTAGTGGACTAGCACAAAAGAAGAGGCATCCAATTCAGCGGACCAGTCAAAGTGATGCGTTGGGTAGTCTGGTCAGTATGCGCACCTATAATGGGCGTACCAGGCAGAGTTCAGGAGCTCAAATTTCAAGAACTGCATGGAACGAAATGGAAACACTTGTTGTGGATGCGGAAAATAGTCTAATCTAGTGGAATAGCACAAAAGAAGAGGCATCCAATTCAGCGGACCAGTCAAAGTGATGCGTTGGGTAGTCTGGTCAGTATGCGCACCTATATTGGGCGTACCAGGCAGAGTTCAGGAGCTCAAATTTTGAGATCCGCATGGAACGAAATGGAAACACATGTCGTGGATGTGGAAAATAGTATAATCTAGTGTACTAGCACAAAAGAAGAGGCATCCAATTCAGTGGACCAGTCAAAGTGATGCGTTGGGTAGTCTGGTCTGTATGCGCACCTATAATGGGCGTACAAGGCAGAGTTCAGGCGCTCAAATTTTGAGAACCGCATAGAACGAAATGGAAATACTTGTTGTGGATGTGGAAAATAGTCTAATCTAGTGGACCAGCACAAAAGAAGAGGCATCCAATTCAGTGGACCAGTCAAAGTGATGCGTTGGGTAGTCTGGTCAGTATGCGCACCTATAATGGGCGTACAAGGCAGAGTTCAGGCGCTCAAATTTTGAGAACCGCATGGAACGAAATGGAAACACTTGTTGTGGATGTGGAAAATAGTCTAATCTAGTGGACCAGCACAAAATAAGAGGCTTTCCATCACTTCCATCACCCCGTCCCATTCTCCCGCTTTCCATCACCCCGCCCCATTCTCCCTCCGTCCATCACCCCGCCCCATTCTCCCTCCTTCCATCCCCCCGCCCCATTCTCCCGCTTTCCATCACCCCGCCCCATTCTCCCGCTTTCCATCACCCCGCCCCATTCTCCCGCTTTCCGTCACCCCGCCACATTCTCCTGCTTTCCAACACCCCGCCCCATTCTCCCGCTTTCCATCACCCCGCCCCATTCTCCCTCCTTCCATCACTCCTCCCCATTCTCCCGCTTTCCATCACCCCGCCCCATTCTCCCGCTTTCCATCACCCCGCCCCATTCTCCTGCTTTCCATCACCCCGCCCCATTCTCCTGCTTTCCATCACCTTGCCCCATTCTCCCGCTTTCCATCACCCCGCCCCATTCTCCCGCTTTCCATCACCCCGCCCCATTCACCCGCTTTCCATCACCCCACCCCATTCTCCCGCTTTCCATCACCCCGCCCCATTCTCCCGCTTTCCATCACCCCGCCCCATTCTCCCGCTTTCCGTCACCCCGCCCCATTCTCCCGCTTTCCATCACCCCGCCCCGTTCTCCCGCTTTCCATCACCCCGCCCCTTTCTCCCTCCTTCCATCACCCCGCCCCATTCTCCCGCTTTCCATCACCCCGCCCCATTCTCCTGCTTTCCATCACCCCGCCCCATTCTCCCGCTTTCCATCACCCCGCCCCATTCACCCGCTTTCCATCACCCCGCCCCATTCTCCCGCTTTCCATCACCCCGCCCCATTCTCCCGCTTTCCATCACCCCGCCCCATTCTCCCGCTTTCCATCACCCCGCCCCATTCTCCCTCCTTCCATCACCCCGCCCCATTCTCCCGCTTTCCATCACCCCGCCCCATTCTCCCGCTTTCCATCATCCCGCCCCATTCTCCCGCTTTCCATCACCCCACCACATTCTCCCGCTTTCCATCACCCCGCCCCATTCTCCCTGTTGGTGCAACCCTACGGTTTGCACTCGGCTTGTTGTCCGTGTGCGTGAATGTGTGTGTGTATGGAATGGTATGAGGGCATGGGATAATATATATTTCATGCTTATAATTGTGTGTGAATGTTGAGTCATGATGTCGAGTGTGTGTGTCGAGTCAATAGCGAGTTATCGCTAGACGCGTGTTACGCGGTCGTTTGTGTCTCGCGCGCGGTTTCTATTTTGTCGTGCGCGGTTTCTATTTTGTCCTGTGTCGAACGTTCGGCGTGTCGCAGGTGTGTGCAGCAGACCCATCAAGAACTCAAGGATGAGTTTGTGATGAAGAGCCCGAGCCTTGGTGTCAAGCCTCAAGTGATTTCGAAGCTCGCCAAAAGGGTACACCTCAAGATATTGAAGATAGTTACATTACTTTGTGTAGTGTAACATTTCACTTGGTGTAGGCCCTAGTGAAGGGTAGTTTCGAGACCCTTCGTGGTTGGGGACAGTGTGGCACTGTTCCACATCACTGTACCTCGGCTCTTGGGGTTTGTAGGAGCTGGGAGTCATTCCCAACTCGTAACTCTTCCTATCTTGTGTTCTAAGACTATAGTGGCTGCCATAGTACCGTTCGTTCAAACCGACGCTGTGTCGTCAATTCTTTATCAAATCGTGCAATCTAAATTGCTAATTGTAGACGACGTAAAGACGCTCCAGATCCAATTTGAATCAGGTCATTTGCAGCTATGAGCAAAACGCCATCAACGTTTGAAGCCGCTGTGCATAAATCCGTCTGTGCTCTCTATCTTTCGTTTTAGGCACATTCAAGCCTATTGTGACTATAACAAGTGGTATCAGAGCCCCTTGGAGCAGTTTCGACAATGTCTGGACCTGAGGAAAGGGGTGGCAGAGGTGCTGGTGGCAGTGGAGAAGCTCAAGCTCAAGGCCAACCCCGTGATTCAGCCATGGCGCCCATGCAACCAAGTCTTGGCCCACCTAGGGATGAGCCTAGGGTGTTTGGGCTTGACAAGTTCAACGGTGACAACTTTGCTGAATGGTCCTTCAAGATGGAGAACATCTTTGACCACTATGACCTGCTGGAGGTGATGGAAGGAACGGAGAAGCGCCCCGAGAACGACCCGGAGAAGAGCCCGTGGGTGCGGAAGAGCGCACAAGGCTACCTCCTACTAGGGCAAGCGTTGGGGAGCAGCCAGATCCGTCACATCAAGCCTTTCCAGCGTGAACCAGAGAAGGGACCAAAGGCATGGGCTGCTCTCAAGGGTGTACACGCTCCTGCAACAGCGGCGGTAGCTGTGGTGTTGGAACGGCAAATGGCGACACTACGAATTGAAGAAGACGAAGCGGTTGAAGAAGGGGTGCAGAAATTCTTCGACTTGTTGACGCGGCTTGAGGGAGCTGATTTGAACTACAGTGAGCTCCAAAAGAAGACCAAGTTGCTGGCCTTACTCCCAGAGTCATGGTCCTCGCTCATCATCAACCTTAATCGCGACTTGCCCCGCCTCTCGCTTGAAGACGTGAAGCGAGCTATCCTTCAAGAGGATTTCCGCCGCCGTGAGTTGGCGAGTGCGGATGGCGCTGGGGCAGCGAGCATCGGCCGTGGATATGGTCGAGGAAGAGGCAGAGGACGAGGGGGAGGAAGGTTTGGTGGCAGCAACTTTGGCGGAGGCCGCGGGAGTGGCGGTTACGGCAGCGACGACAAGAGCTACGGACGCGGTCGCGGCCGATTCGACGGCGAGTGTCACTATTGCCACAAGAGCGGACACATGTGGCGCGACTGCTACAAACTCCCTGATGGTTGGACCCCTGCTCAAGGCCAAGAGGGTAGAGGAGCAGGAGGAGGGAGAGGACGAGGCCGTGGAGGCCGTGGCGGTCGCGGTGGTGGAGCTGCAAACATGAAGAGCGGAGTCAACGACAAGGACCCGAGCGACGATCGATACCCGGGTCTATTCTACTTCGTGTCGACGCAAGTACCGGCTGGTCCAGAGAAGGATGAAGGCTTTGAGGAGCCAGCAGCTGTGGGGAAGGTGACCCTACACCCCCTGGACTATTGGGTGATTGATAGTGGCGCTACCTATAGCATGACACCTCGCCCGGACTTGCTCACCGAACTCGAGCCGTCACCGGTGAAGCATGTCACATCGGCTTTGGGGCAGCGAGCAGAGGTGAAAGGCATGGGCAAGGCCATGTTCAAGGGTGCTGATGGGAAGATGGTGGGCCTCAAGAACGTGCTTTGGGTGCCCAGCCTTGCTGCAAACCTGATTTCCGTGCGGCGGTTGGCAAAGGCCGGCATGGACACGAACTCGAAGGGAGCCAAGACCTACACCGCAAGGCTTGGCGATCGAATTCTCTGGGACCTTCATGAAGACAGGGATGTCTACAACGAGATGTGGCAGATCCCAGTGGTCCCTATGCCTAAGGAGAGGCAAGTGGCAGCAAGCATCAGCACCAAGGATGGAGCGGTCGGTAGCGACGATGGCGCGAACGGTCGCGCTAAGGAGAATGAGCTCAAGAAGAGCAAACCTGGAAGGACCAGCAAGTTCAGTGAACCTAAGGAGAGTGGTGCAGCAACCAAGGAGCAGCAAAAGGGTGAGGAGAACCCAGAGGCAGCAGCGGAGGAGGACTATGGAGAGAGTATGTGGGGCGCTATTGCGAGCGCGGCATTCTCCAATCCAACTTCGGCTACGGGGGAGTGTGATTGGCTCACCTTGCATCGGCGCATGGGGCATGTGGCCCTGCCCATCTTGCAGCAGCTAGTGAAGAATAAGATGGTTGCTGGCATACGTGTGAAGGGGGAGCCCGATGAGGTGCTTGGCTGCCCGACGTGCATTCAAGCCAAGTTCACCCGGTTTCCGTTCCCTAGTTCGGAGGCAACGGCAAAGGCACCGCTTGATGAGGTGGTGATGGACGTGGTGGGCCCCCTGAAGCTTGGAGCTGCTGGAGCTGAGTATTTTCTCACCATTGTTGACGTCTACACCCGCATGACTTGGGTGTACGTGCTGGCCAAGAAGAGCGACGTGGCTGAAACGTTGAAGACGGATTGGTTCCCGATGGTGGAGCGGCAACAAGACCGTCTAGTCAAGTCAATCCGCACCGATCGAGGGGGAGAGTTCCTGAGCAAGGAGTTTGGGTTGTGGCTGAAGAAGAATGGTATTCGGCACTCCCTCACCATGCCATACTCCCCTGCAATGAACGGCATCGCCGAGCGAGCGAACCGCACAATCACGGAGGCGGCACGCGGGCTGCTCATTGAAGCCGGGCTACCCGACTATTTCTGGCCTGATGCGGTGCGGAGCGCGTGTGTGGCCAAGAACAGAGCCTTGACTCATGTGGGAGCAGACAAATGGGTGCCCTATGTGGAGTGGCTAGGAAGGAAGCCAAAGGTGGATATGCTTCGGGTGTTCGGGTGCATGTGCATGGCGCTCGTGCCTAAGCATCTTCGGCACAACAAGCTTGGTGCCAAGGCGGTGTGGGCCGTGCACTTGGGCATGGCTCAAAACAGCAAGGGATGGCTTCTTTGGGACCCATTCACCAAGAAGTTCTTGGTGAGCAGGGACTGCAAGTTCATGGAGAACTTCATGTACAAGGATTGGAAGGCGGAGAATGAGGCGAAGATAGGCGTGCGGTTTGGGGAGGTGAAGAGTTCCGGTTTGGAGCATGTGGAGCTGCCTTTGGAGCTGAGCAGCGGCAGCACAACCACAAGGCAATCCTCCCTTGTGAATGGGGGAGAGGAGGCCAATGATGCAGAGGAAGAAGAGGAGGAGGTGCAGCAAGTGAGCGAGCGTGCACCGTCACTCCCTTCCCGTACTACGAGTGCTCCACGGATTCGAGCCACACCGCAGCAACGCCAAGGCCTTCAAGTCTCTGCAGCTGAGGAGGAAGGAAGGGGGAAGAGGAGAGTTCAACCCCCTAATAGGCTGACCTATGATGCGCCGGGAAAGCAGGGCAAGACAGCCCTGGCCGGAGCGGCAATGATGGTCGAAGACGACGAGGAGAGTGACTACGAGGAGTGTGCCTTCGCGTTCTTCTCTCCGGTGGAGATGCCGGGAGAACCAGCAACTCTCAAGGAGGCTTTGGAGAGTAGTGATGCTGAGGAGTGGAAGAAGGCCATGGAGAGTGAGCTGAAGAGCATCGAGGAGAATGACACGTTTGAATTGGTGGAGCTACCGGAGGGGCGTACGGCGATAACGTCCAAGTGGCTCTTCAAAATCAAGTCGGATGCCGACGGCAAGATCGAGCGCTACAAGTCTAGGCTTGTAGCCAAGGGGTACCAGCAGAAGGAGAAGGTGGACTTCAAGGAGCTGTTTGCCCCTGTGGTGAAGCCGACGACGCTGCGAACCCTATTCGCGGGAGCCGCCATCAAAGGATGGGTAGTAAAGCAAATGGACATCGTAACGGCATTCCTTAACGGCATCCTTGAGGAGGAGATTTTTATGGCGCAGCCAGAGGGGTTTGATGATGGTAGTGGCAGAGTGTGGAAGCTGAAGAAGGCCCTCTATGGGCTGAAGCAGGCCCCTAGGCAATGGTACATGAAGCTGCGCGAAGTGTTGGAGGGGATCGGCTTCACTCCCTCAACGGCCAATCACTCCTTGTTCATGCTTGGCGAGGGGGAGCAGAGGAGTTTCATGGTGGTTTATGTGGATGACATCCTCATTTTCTCACCCTCTTCTGACCTTGTGAAGGAGGTGATGCTGAAGCTTCAAGACAAGTTCAAGTGCAAGGCCCTTGGTGACGCGAGCTTCTACCTTGGGCTCCACATCGAACGAGATGTGGAGAAGCGGTGCATGCGGGTGCGTCAACGAAAGTACCTGGAGGCATTGGCTGCCAACTTTGGGCAGAGTGAAGGCCATGTGGCTACACCCTTTCCCTCTGGGTTCAAGTGTGTGAAGGGACCAGAGGAGGAGAGCGTTGGTGAAGAGGAGAGGCGCCGATTTCACTCGTTGGTGGGCAGCCTCATGTATGCGGCGGTAAACACCCGACCGGACGTCGCGTTTGCTACCGGGCAGCTGGCTAGGGTTGTGCAATGCCCTAATGAGGAGCAGGTAGCAGCTGGAATGAGGGTGGCCAAGTATCTTGGCCAAACACCGACCGTTGGGCTGCAATACTCGGCGGCGGCACAAAGGCGCCAAAAGGGCGCGGATGGTGTTGAACCCGGGCGTTTGTTCCTCACCGCCTACTCGGATGCTTCATATGCATCAGAACCAGAGGACATGACAAGTGTGGGAGGCTTCATATGCTGTGTTGGTGGAGGCCCAACTGCTTGGGAGAGCAAGAAGCAGGTTGACCAAGCTTTGAGCTCGGTGGAGTCCGAGTACATGGCACTCTTCCGTGCCGTACGGGAGATTGTGTGGCAGCGGCGTTTGTTGGCTGAATTGGGGGAGGAGCAGCAAGGACCTACCCCACTGTACTATGACAGCCAGGGTGCCATTGCTCTTTCTAAGAACCCTGTGTTGCATGGACTCACGAAGCACATGAGGGTGAAGTGGCATTGGACGAGGAGCATGGTAACCGCGGGTGAAGTTGAGTTGCGCTACGTGAAGACCACGGGGCAGCCGGCTGACATGATGACCAAGAGGCTGGTGGAGCAGCAGCATTGGAAGTGTTGCAAGCTGGCTGGGATGGCTCTGAACTGAGAGAGCAACATATCCTAAGGCCAACAATCCGAGGGGGAGTTTGTTGGTGCAACCCTACGGTTTGCACTCGGCTTGTTGTCCGTGTGCGTGAATGTGTGTGTGTATGGAATGGTATGAGGGCATGGGATAATATATATTTCATGCTTATAATTGTGTGTGAATGTTGAGTCATGATGTCGAGTGTGTGTGTCGAGTCAATAGCGAGTTATCGCTAGACGCGTGTTACGCGGTCGTTTGTGTCTCGCGCGCGGTTTCTATTTTGTCGTGCGCGGTTTCTATTTTGTCCTGTGTCGAACGTTCGGCGTGTCGCAGGTGTGTGCAGCAGACCCATCAAGAACTCAAGGATGAGTTTGTGATGAAGAGCCCGAGCCTTGGTGTCAAGCCTCAAGTGATTTCGAAGCTCGCCAAAAGGGTACACCTCAAGATATTGAAGATAGTTACATTACTTTGTGTAGTGTAACATTTCACTTGGTGTAGGCCCAAGTGAAGGGTAGTTTCGAGACCCTTCGTGGTTGGGGACAGTGTGGCACTGTTCCACATCACTGTACCTCGGCTCTTGGGGTTTGTAGGAGCTGGGAGTCATTCCCAACTCGTAACTCTTCCTATCTTGTGTTCCAAGACTATAGTGGCTGCCATAGTACCGTTCGTTCAAACCGACGCTGTGTCGTCAATTCTTTATCAAATCGTGCAATCTAAATTGCTAATTGTAGACGACGTGAAGACGCTCCAGATCCAATTTGAATCAGGTCATTTGCAGCTGTAAGCAGAACGCTATCAACGTTTGAAGCCGCTGTGCAGAAATCCGTCTGTGCTCTCTATCTTTCGTTTTAGGCACATTCAAGCCTATTGTGACTATAACACTCCCGCTTTCCGTCACCCCGCCCCATTCTCCCGCTTTCCATCACCCCGCCCCGTTCTCCCGCCTTCCATCACCCCGCCCCATTCTCCCTCCTTCCATCACCCCGCCCCATTCTCCCGCTTTCCATCACCCCGCCCCATTCTCCTGCTTTCCATCACCCCGGCCCATTCTCCCGCTTTCCATCACCCCGCCCCATTCTCCCGCTTTCCATCACCCCGCCCCATTCTCCCGCTTTCCATCACCCCAGCCCATTCTCCAACTTTCCATCACCCCGCCCCATTCCCCTTTCTTCCATCACCCCGCTCCATTCTCCCGCTTTCCATCACCCCGCCGCATTCTCTCGCTTTCCATCACCCCGCCCCATTCTCCTTCCTTCCATCACCCCGCCCCATTCTCCCGCTTTCCATCACCCCCCCCCATTCTCCCGCTTTCCATCACCCCGCTCCATTCTCCCTCCTTCCATCACCCCGCCCCATTCTCCCGCTTTCCATCACCGTGCCCCATTCTCCCTCCATCCATCACCCCGCCCCATTGTCCGTCCTTCCATCACCCTGCACCGTTCTCCCGCCTTCCATCACCCGCTCCATTCTCCCTCCTTCCATCACCCCGCCCCATTCTCCCTCCTAACATCATCCCGCCCCATTCTCCCTCCTAACAGCATCCCGCCCCATTCTCCCGCTTTCCATCACCCCGCCCCATTCTCCCGCTTTCCATCACCCCGCCCCATTCTCCCTCCTTCCATCACCCCGCCCCATTCTCCCGCTTTCCATCACCCCGCCCCATTCTCTAGCTTTCCATCACCCCGCCCCATTCTCCCGCTTTCTTTCACCTCGCCCCATTCTCCCGCTTTCCATCACCCCGCCTAATTCTCCCTCCTTCCATCACCCCGCCCCATTCTCCCGCTTTCCATCACCCCGCCCCTATCTCCCCCTTTCCATCACCCCGCCCCATTCTCCCGCTTTCCATCACCCCGCCCCATTCTCCCGCTTTCCATCACCCCGCCCCATTCTCCCTCCTTCCATCACCCCGCCCCATTCTCCCTCCTTCCATCACCCCGCCCCATTCTCCCGCTTTCCATCACCCCGCCCCATTCTCCCTCCTTCCATTACCCCACCCCATTCTCCCTCTTTCCATCACCCCGCCCCCTTCTCCTGCTTTCCATCACCCCGCCCCATTCTCCCGCTTTCCATCACCGTGCCCCATTCTCCCTCCATCCATCACCCCGCCCCATTGTCCGTCCTTCCATCACCCTGCCCCGTTCTCCTGCCTTCCATCACCCGCTCCATTCTCCCTCCTTCCATCACCCCGCCCCATTCTCCCTCCTAACATCATCCCGCCCCATTCTCCCTCCTAACAGCATCCCGCCCCATTCTCCCTCCTAACAGCATCCCGCCCCATTCTCCCGCTTTCCATCACCCCGCCCCATTCTCCCGCTTTCCATCACCCCGCCCCATTCTCCCTCCTTCCATCACCCCGCCCCATTCTCCCGCTTTCCATCACCCCGCCCCGTTCTCTAGCTTTCCATCACCCCGCCCCATTCTCCCGCTTTCTTTCACCCCGCCCCATTCTCCCGCTTTCCATCACCCCGCCTAATTCTCCCTCCTTCCATCACCCCGCCCCATTCTCCCGCTTTCCATCACCCCGCCCCTATCTCCCCCTTTCCATCACCCCGCCCCATTCTCCCGCTTTCCATCACCCGTCCCCATTCTCCCGCTTTCCATCACCGTGCCCTATTCTCCCTCCATCCATCACCCCGCTCCATTCTCCCTCCTTCCATGACCCCACCCCATTCTCCCGCTTTCCATCACCCCGCCCCATTCTCCCGCTTTCTATCACCCCCTCCATTCTCCGTCCTTCCATCACCCCGCCCCATTCTCCCTCCTAACATCATCCCGCACCATTCTCCCTCCTAACATCATCCCACCCCATTCTCCCGCTTTCCATCACCCCGCCCCATTCTCCCGCTTTCCATCACCCCGCCCCATTCTCCCGCTTTCCATCACCCCGCCCCATTCTCCCGCTTTCCATCACCCCGCCACATTCTCCCGCTTTCCATCAACCCGCCCCATTCTCCCTCCTTCCATCACCTCGCCCTATTCTCCCGCTTTCCATCACCCCGCCCCATTCTCCCTCTTTCCATCACCCTGCCCCATTCTCCCCCTTTCCATCACCCCGCCCTATTCTCCCGCTTTCCATCACCACCCACCATTCTCCCGCTTTCCATCAATCCGCCCCATTCTCCCGCTTACCATCACCCTGCCCCATTCTCCCTCCTTCCATCACCCCGCCCCATTCTCCCGCTTTCCATCACCCCGCCCCATTCTCCCGCTTTCCATCACCCCGCCCCATTCTCCCGCTTTCCATCACCCCGCCCCATTCTCCCGCTTTCCATCACCCCGCCCCATTCTCCCGCTTTCCATCACCACGCCTCATTCTCCCTCTTTCATTCACCCCGCCCCATTCCCCATCCTTCCATCACCCCGCCCCATTCTCCCTCCTTCCATCACCCCGCCCCATTCTCCCGCTTTCCATCACCCCGCCCCATTCTCCAGCTTTCCATCACCCCGCCCCATTCTCCCTCCTTCCATCACCCCGCCCCATTCTCCCTTCTTCCATCACCCGCCCCATTCTCCCCGCGTTCCATCACCCCCCCATTCTCCCGCTTTCTATCACCCCGCCCCATTCTGCCGCTTTCCATCACCCCGCCCCATTCTCCCGCTTTCCATCACCCCGCCCCATTCTCCCGCTTTCCATCACCCCGCCCCATTCTCCGCTTTCCATCACCCTGCCCCATTCTCCCGCTTTCCACCACCCCGCCCCATTCTCTCTCCCGCTTTCCATCACCCCGCCCCATTCTCCCTCTTTCCATTACCGCGCCCCATTCTCCCGCTTTCCATCACCCCGCCCCATTCTCCCCTTTCCATCACCCCGCCCCATTCTCCCTCCTTCCATCACCCCGCCCCATTCTCCCGCTTTCCATCACCCCGCCCCATTCTCCCGCTTTCCATCACCCCGCCCCATTCTCCCGCTTTCC